CGTGGAGCTGCTGCAGAGAGTCCAGAGGAGGCCCCGGAGCTGCTCCCAGGGCTGGATCCCTCTGCTCTGGAGCCAGGCTGGGACAGCTGGGGGGTTCCCCTGGAGAAGAGAAGGATCCAGGGAGACCTGAGAGCCCCTGGCAGGGCCTAAAGGGGCTCCAGGAGAGCTGGAGAGGGACTGGGGACAAGGCATGGAGGGACAGGACACAGGGAATGGTTTTAAGCTGAAGGAGGGTAGATTTAACCCAGATATTGGGAAGGAATTCCTGGCTGGGAGGGTGGGCAGGCCCTGGCACAGGTTGGGCAGAGAAGCTGTGGCTGCCCCTGGATCCCTGGAAGTGTCCAAGGCCAGGTTGGAGCAACCTGGGCTGGTGGAAGGTGTCCCTGCTCATGGCAGGGGGTGGGGCTGGAGGGGCTTTGGGTCCCTTCCAACCCAAACCATCCTGGGATTCTATGATTTAACAACTTTGGGGCAGCAATGGGGCTGGACAGACTTTGAAGGGGAGATGGTTTAATGCATCATCTAAGATAAAAATGCAAATCTCATCATTTGCTGATTTTTCTTTGATCCCTCTGAGACTTCAGCGTGTACAGAACATTCCCCATCCCCACTTCCATAACGTGACAAGGTGTCTGAACTCCCTTTTGCAGAGGCAAATCCTGCTGCAAGAAAGGCATTAATTCCTCATGTGGAAAGGGAGGGAAAAGGGAAAGGAAACGTGGTTTGGCCTGGGGTTTCAGGCTCTGGAGCTGAGTTTCCATGGCAGGGGAGGCTGGGCAGCACTGGCTGTCCAGCAGCGTCCACAGCACCAGCAGAGCCATCTCGTGGTGACACATCTGCTTCCAGCAGCCCCAGAGCCACTGCCCAGGTCTGCTAAATTAGAACTCCTTCAGCACTTGCTGCTGGTCAGGCTTTGTGTCCTGTCATGGTTTTTAAGTCCAGCTGGAAAGGAACCACCAGTGGAGCAGCTCAGTCCCTGTCCCAGCCCTGGTGGGGAGAACTGGGGAAAGAATAAACCTTGGGGGCCCAGAACATTTTAATAAATGAAAGAAATATAACAATAATAATGAAAATGAGAGAGAGGAATTGTTTAGCCTGAAGAAAAGGAGGCTCAGGGGGGACCTGGAGCTCTCCACAACTCCCTGACAGGAGGGGGGAGCCGGGGGGGGTCGGGCTCTGCTCCCAGGGAACAGGGACAGGAGGAGAGGGAACGGCCTCAGGCTGTGCCAGGGGAGGGACAGGTTAGAAATCAGGGAAAATTCCTTCCAGGAAAGCGTGGTCAGGCATTGGAACAGGCTGCCCAGGGCAGTCCCCATCCCTGGAGGGATTGCAAAGCCCTGTGGATGTGGCACTTGGGGACATGGTCAGTGCTGGGGGACAGTTGGATTCCGTGGTCTGAGAAGACTTTTGCACCTCAACAATTGTGTGACTCTCTGAATAAAACCCAAGGCAACCCAGTGACGCTCCGTCCACCCCCCAGTGCCCGATGCCTGTCCCCCAGCAGCAACCAGTGCCTCACAGCCAGCTCCCCCAGTTACAGACTGGGCACGATGCTCTCTGCTGGGCAATGCCCCTCTGCCCAGCTGGGATCAGCCCTCCTGGCTCCCCCACCTCCCTGCACAGCTGCTCGCTGGCAGAGCCCCAGAAACCAGCAAGTCCTTGGTTCAGGGTGGGCAGGACTGGGCAACAACCAAAGCATCAGCGTGTTATCAGCGTTATCCTCCTGCTAAACTCCAAACACCGAGGAGAAAATTAACTCTCTCCCAGCCCATCTGAGGACAGTTCCCTCCAAAAAGCTGCATTCAAGGTTAAAACTTGCCACAGTTTGTGAAGAGAGCGAGTGCAAGAATGAGAAACAGCGACTGAGCACAAAGCCACGAGCCAGCCCCTCACCACTGACAATCCTTTCAGGGACAATCCTGGTCCTCACTTCAACTGAACCATTCCACAGGAGCTCCACTGCAAGTTATCGAAGCCCAGTGTTGTCCCTTCCCTCGGAACTTGCTCCCACCCAAACATCTCCCCCCTCACGCTCACACATCCCACCAGGGCAGCCCCAATGGAACTGCTGCTGCAGCCTCCAAAACTTCAGCTGGCAGCTCCACAGCGTCCTGAAGCCCTTGGAACCTTGGAATGGCCAAGGAAAGGCAGCTGCAAACAGGCAGCAAACAGGCAGCACACACCCCAAGCGATCCCTAGGTTATGTAAGGCCCGCAAGGTCACAGGGGGATTATCCCAGAATTCGCCAAATTACTTTGTCCAGCCAGGTGCAAGGAAGAGTAAACCCCTTTCTCCCCAAGCTATGCCTTTCCTACGTATTTCCCAAGTTAACTGTTAGTAAAGCTTTATTCCAGGGTGGATTTGGAGGTGACCACACGACTGCTCATCACATC